TTCCCGGGCCCACATATCGGAATCCGACAAAAATTACAAAAATAGAAAACCCTTTCACTCACGAGTCTATACATACCAAATCCATCAAAATCCGACACCAAATGGTCCCTCAAATCCCCAAATCAAACTCTCCAATTTTCAAGCCCTAACCCCTCATTTTCATCCCTAATTTCTACTAAATACATGCTTAAACAACTGAAAATTACCATAATCACGAGTATTGGGATCAAGTAACTTACCTCAATGAAAACCCCCTTGATTCCCTCTTCAAAACTCTCCAAAAAGCTCAAAAATCCGAATAGAAATGGTGATGAATGACCAAAATTCCCGAAGTGTTCCTTGTATTCCTTCTGCCCAGGCATCTCGCACCTGCGGCCCATTTTACCACATTCTGCAACCGCACTTGCGGTCCAAGCGCCGCACCTGCGAAAATCACTTATCCACCGAAAATCGCTTCTGCTGTCAACTACTCGCACATGCAGTCTCGCAGGTGCGCTCCACCTTCCGCAACTGCGTTTCCTGCCTTCCTTAGCCTTGGTCGCTTCTGCGGCCCTTTCTTCTTCTGCGGGCCCGCATCTGCGGTCCCCACTCTCCATGTGCGGTTATAACAGCTGAATGAAATCTTCAGCATACCTCAAATTCCATCCTTGATCCGTCAACCACCCGAAATCAACCCAAGGCTCTTGGGACCTCTACCAAACATTCTAACAAGTCAAATATCAACATACGAACTTAGTCGAACCTTCAGAACACTCAAAACAACATCAAAACACCAAATCACCCTCGGATTCAAGCCTAAGAACTCCTAAACTTCCGAATTTCACAAACGACGCCAAAACCTACTAAATCACCTCCGAATGACCTGAAATTTTGCACACACGTCAAAAATGACACTACAAACCTACTCCAACTTCCGGAATTCCATTCTGACCCCGATATCAAAATTTCCACTGCCGACCGAAAAACGCCAAATTTCCAATTTTGCTAATTCAAGCATTATTCTACCACGGACCTCCAAGTCACATTCCGGTCGCGCTCTCAAGTCCAAAATCACCTGACGGAGCTAACCGAACCATCATTATTCACATCCGAGATTATTTACACATAAGTCAACATCCAATTGACTTTCCAGCTTAAACTTCTAAATAGGAGACTAAGTGTCTCATTCCACACCGAAACCACTCCGGGCCCGAACCAACCAACACGATACGATGAAATACAGATGAGGAACACAAAAGGAAGCAAAAATGGGGGAAACAGGGCTACAATTCACGAAACAACCAGCCGGATCGTTACAACTTGTTACCCCGTTTTTTATGAGAACTCTGGTTATTCAAATTTCTTAAATTATTTTCTGTTAAATGTTGGAAGTATTTTAAAAATATCGGCTTTCCTAGTACCATTTGCGTCCTGACAACCTTAATACACCTCATGTCTCACTCGATGCGTTTTAAAAGTAAAATTTTATTATGGATTATTTCGTTACATAGAAATTATTTGAAAATCATTGAAGGCGAAACTTTTTGATCTTACACTATTAAATAAAGTAAAAATTACGTGATACGTGAAACATATACACTATATTTACCGTTCGTAGATATACTTTCAGTAATTTTACTTATTTTAAATTGAAATAAGAGAGCAACAAGCTCATGTAGCTCACTTGGTTAGAGTACCCGCTTAGTTAGCGGAGGTCTTGAGTTTGACTCTCACTAAAAGTATTTTTTTGTATTTCTGTATATCACCTTTGTTGTATTCGTTAACAATCGATACATGTTGTATCCTTTGTATGCATTGTGAGCATGTAATTTTACCCTATGCGAAATTACTCCTAAAAATGCTCAAAATAGTTTTTAATTATTTTTGTAGAATAGGAAATTTTGTGTCATTCGCATCATTAAAAGCACCTTTAAAATCGCAAAAAATGGTCAAAAATATTTTATCTTTCATTCCATAGTATTCTAGGATTTTAGTCTCAGGATTTCATCATTTGTTAAATGCACTAGTCAATATATAAAAAATCAAAAATAATGCATTAGTTGCTTTTATCTTTTTTTTTTTACAATCTTAGGTTAATTAATTAATTCATTAGGTCGTTAGTCAATCATTAGGTAAAATAGATAAATAATTTGGCCATACAGATTGAAGTAAACTAAAATTAGAGTTTAAAGTGGCTAACATTGCAAAAATATAAAGAAGAAAAAGAAAAGGGGGTTCTTAGACTTTCACAATTGGGCTAAGCAAAATCGGACGGCCCAATTACTTTAGTTCCTCCACAAACCCATTCCCAAACCCGGTCCGTCCCTTTTTTAAAAACCAATCGGCGCCGTTCTTGTCACACCAAGTTTTGGCCGTCGATTTGAACTAATCAAACCCTCCCTTATAACTGTCTGAACCCGGCCCCAAACCCTAGAGATCCTCTCCACTTCCCCAATCTCCCTCACCTCTTTCATGCCCTATCAAAGCCGCCGCCGGAATCTCTTATGGCGGCGGCACCACTCTAAACACTACCAAATTAACATCAGACAACCTCCGTCTTCTCCTCTTTCCAAATATCCTAACCTCGCCCTCGGAAACCCACTAGAACTCGCCCAATATTAGATCTTAATTTCCAGAAAAACCCGAGTTCGTCCCCTCTCTAACTCTCAACGATTTGCTAGTCATTTTGGCTTACGTGAATCGATTGTTTTCGACAAGCAATCAATATACGTTAGTTTCGATTTATTTTGAAGCCACCAGAATCCGTTCGAACCTCATTGGTTGGCCATTTTCTCCTCCAGTGTGTGTTCCATTAGGTATACCAACATATCATTCTATCATATACTCATGTCTTATTTATTAATCAACATCTAATTGAAATTGTTTTGCTTGTTTAATTTAGTTTTTAATAGAATAGCTTAGTTCATGGATTAATTGTAGTCTTGCAGCCGGTCTGCTAATTACTTGTTTGCATGCTTAGATTAAATAATTAATTGCATAATCAGTAGTCCAATTACATGAAATTAGTTTAATTGCATAAATTGTAGGTTAATTGGTCCAGAAGTTGTTGGATATTGAAGTAGGTCATTGATTTAATTTCAGCATATTGTTTGTCTGTTTTTTTTCTTTTTGATCTGTTTGTTTCTTTGGTGTAGTTTATTTGTAGTTATTAGAAACTTAGGGGGGGGGGGGGGTAGGGGCTAAGGGAATATGAAACTTTAGAAATCCTGATCAGTTATGTAGGAACCTTCTAGAAGGGGTTAAAATGCACTAAAACAAGAGAATTAGGTCAGAAATTGGGTTTGAAAGGGGTAAAATACAAAAGTTAAAGAGTTCAAAAATAAGAAGAATATCTGAAAAGGGAATTTGTTAGAAAAAATGCTGAAAAATAGAAAGAATATATGAAAAAAGGACAACTGTCCAAATTTGTTAGAGAAAATATGCTCTTTTTCCTTATTTTTAGGGCTGAACATTCCTATATTTTGTGCATACTCACATTCTATATAAGACTCACTCACACACTCGTTTAAAAAGGTTGCCTGGATTTCTTTGAGAGAAGAAAACACACACTGTATTTTATGCATTTTTTCAGAAAATTCCTTTCTCTTATTTGCATGCACATTCTCACTCATATACTCATCTTCATTCACTGCATTCCTTATATAAGAGATTTGAAAAGAGAACCAATGTTCTGAAGAAGAATAGAAGAAGAACAATAGAGTTCTAGGTTAGTTGAGACTCCAAACAATTCAAAAGTTGTTAGCTATTTCGAAATTTGTAGTTTCTCTTGCATTTCTGGGTTCCAAAGGTGGATTTAGCTGCGTTTTCTACTGCTTTTCTTGTTGTTTCTCACTCGAACAAGTAGCTTGGGGATTCATAACCTTCTTTCCTGACCGTTATTTGGTCATTATTTGCTATTGCTCTCCTAGGTATGTCGAAATTCCGGTTGTAATTCCCCTTCGAATATAGAAATGGTAGAACTGAATGTTTGATTCCGTGTGTTCTTTGCATTGATTCACTTGATCTTATCACTTTCTTCTTTACTAGTGCTTGATTTTCGTGTTCGAACTGAATATTTGAAGCTAAGCGTATTTGTCAATTAGCTAGTTGAACTGAATAAATACTCTCATGTTTGAATATTTCGTGATATTATTTGACTGCTGCAGTTAGTACATTCATGAGGATGAGGTATAAATCCTGTTTACTGTTGACGTTTTTAACCTATGATGATGGAGTTTAAGTGTGGAATTCAAGTTGAAATCAAAGGCATGAAGAGTCATAAGTCAATTGTTTAGTTCCAAGTGTTGCTACCCATTTTAATTTTAGAAATAGAGAGTTTCAGTACGTAGAAGTGCTCATTTTAGTACTGTGTATAATTTGAAACGTTCATGTGTTAGGGTTTGTAACTAATTTTATTATTCTTGTGGTGTATGAAATGATTATGTGTTAAAAAATCCGTCGTTCGGTAATTGTTGGGCCTGATTTTAGGCCTGGCCCATGTCGTGACTTGAATCACAGGTTGGGGTACTAGGGGGGATTTGCATCTATACCCGCTTTTTGAATCACGTTTTAACTTGTGCCCGCTTTGCAAAAAAAATTGCAAGCGCCACTTTTTCGCGTAACTTCAGCATACAGGGCTGAAGTAGCAAAGGCAATCAAGCAAAACTTCAGGATTCTAGTAGACGGGACTGAAATAGCAAGTGTGCTGAAGTTTTTGTTTGTAATTATTGAACTTAAGCATAGTAGCTGAGGTTTTGTTCTCTATTTGCTAAAGTTTTTGTTTGTAATTGCTGAAGTTTTTGTTTTTGTAACTGGCGAACTTCAGCTCTGAAGTTTTTGTTTTTGTAACTGGCGAACTTCAGCTCTAGAGCTGAAGTTTTTGTTTTGTAATTGGCGAACTTTAGCTCTAGAGCTGAAGTTTTTGTTTTGTAACTGGCGAACTCTACGCTCTACGTAGCTCGTAGTTTAGTTTTTAGTTAACTAGGTCGGACCTTCTACGACTCTACGTAGCGTGTAAGGTTTAATTTTTAGTTTAACGTACGTCGGACTTTAACGTTCGTCTACGTAGCTGTAGTTTAGTTTTGTTACTAGGTCGGACTTACTCGCTCTAGTAGCTGAAGTTTAGTTTAGTTAACGTATCGGTACTTACTGACTCTACGTAGCTGTAGTTTAGTTTTGTACGTAGTGGACCTTACTACGCTCTCGTAGCGTCTAGTAGGTCGATTACGTTCGCGTTCCTTTCGTTTAAGTTCCTCCTATACGTTCTCGTCGTTACTTAGTTCCCTTAACCTGTTCTCGTTTACTTTAACGGTTTAATTGCTTGGTCGTACTGTTGTTTAGGTTCCGTAGTTGGGGTTAACGTAACGTCGTCCCGTACTAGTTGGTAACGTTCTAACTCGTTCCAGGTTAGTACTAATTTCCCGAGTTAAGGTTTTATGCTGGCATGTTGTTTTGGTCCAGTTGGGGTAACTAGTCCTCCCACTATTGGGAATTCCATCTCAGTGATATTCCAGTAGTCCATGCTCTTGGTTGTTCATCTAATGATGCATGAATTGCATCTGATGTCTACTGTTCAAGTATTTGATGCAAAGAAAGACTTTCAAGGAGTAGGAATTGATAACTTGTAAAGAAAACAAGAGAAGGTAACATTTAAGAGTACACCAAGACAGAGAACTTGTCCCCTTCTTTGACGAAATTCACCTCCCCACCTAGTTTCATGAACCCTACTTTTGGAAAAAGAAAAGATAAAACTTTGAGGAGGAGAAAGGGGGTTGAAGTTATTTAAAAAGTGGGTACAAGTTAAAACTTTTTAAAAAAATGGGTATAGGTTAAATGGGGGCGACCAAATAGGGCACCCCGTGTAATTTTTACGGGTACTAGGCTCCATTATGGAGAGCCCAGAAAAGTTCGCCCTTTTGCCCAGTTATTTCACTAGTCTTGGTAATTTAAAATTATAACTCATGGCTTTTGAACTTCCACCAATAACCTTGAACTCTAGGAAATTAGATAATTCATGAATCTGCGTAGAATGCTTTAGGAGCGTTCTAATCTATTATCATGATTGTGTACACGTTCCCATGTGCTGGTAAGTGCCTAGCCTAACCTCTACGAAATAGTGACGAGGCTAGGACCAGACCACCAAATAAACCTGTACAGTTAAATCATATACAGCGGGAAATAAAAGGCAGAAATTTTACAATTTAAAAGTAAGAAGGGGGAAAAGAGACATGCTGCGGGGATATCAAGTAACAACATGAAACAAATAAATAACAGTAAAGAACACCGTAACTCAAATATCAACAATAACCAGGAAATCAAACAAGTGCACGGCATCAACCTTTCGTGCCTTTACCCTCGTCCTCACCAAATATCAATATAATTGGCACGGCATCATCTTTCGTGCTTTTACCTCACATAAACATGGCACAGAATGATCCTTCGTGCATAATCACTCATATAAAGGCACGGAATGGTACATCGTGCGGCACGACATCACCCTTCGTGCATTTAACACTCTCTCACAAAAACAATGCACGACATCAACCTTCGTGCTTTAACACTCTCTCACCAAAACAATGCACGACATCACCCTTCGTGCTTTAACACTCTTCCTCACCCAAACAACAATCACAAACAGTAAGGGCAAGAAAATAAATGAAATCACAATAAAATCACAATGAAGATCCCGGCAAGGGAACAATACCAAGAGAAACAACATCCCAGCAAGGGACAATATTAAAAGCAACAACATCCCGGCAAGGGAACAATATTAAAAGCAACAACATCCCGGCAAGGGAGACAATATCATAATCCTCTTCTCTTTTTCACATTTACTTCACAACTCAATTTACAACTTGAGCCAACGCTCTACTATGCTCAATTACCAATGATACTTTCACAATTCGATTCACAACTTGAGCCAACGCTCTACAATATTCAAATACCCATGATACTTTCACAAATCAATTCACAACTTGAGCCAACGCTCTTTAATGTTCAATTACTCAATACTTCTATAAGCCTTGTTCAACAATGGTAATATCACATAAGGCATGAACAATACAAAACGGAGTCATATTAATCATAGTATAAGACTCACGGGCATGCTTGACACCAAGGTATAGATACTCGCCACCATGCCTATACGTCGTACCCAACAATTAACACATAGCAAATAGGACACGACTCCTAATCCCTCAAGTAAGGTTAGACCAAACACTTACCTCGATGCCACGAACACAATTCAAGCCTCAACTACCGCTTTACCTCATGATTCCACCACCAATTCGCTCGTATCTAGCTACAAGTTACTTAACTATATCAATAAATGCTAAATGGATTAATGCTAATGCATGAAAATAGATTTTCTAGAGTTCTTCCCAAAAATTCAAAAATCGACCCCGGTCACACATGGTCAAAACCCGAGGTTCGAATAAAAATTCGATTACCCATTCACCCACGAACTCTAATATATAATTTATTTTGAAATCGGACCTCAAATCGAGGTCCAAATTCCCAAAATTTGAAAAGCCTAGGTTCTACCTAAAACACCCAATTTCCCCCAAGAAAACCCGTGATTTTGAGTTGAAATCATGTGAAAAGATGCTAAAGATTGAAGAAAACGAGTTAGAAACGACTTACAATCGATTTGGAGAAGAACTTTTCTTTGGAAAATCGCCCAAGAGAGTTTATGTTTTTAGAAGATTTGAAAAATGGCTGAAAATACGTCTAAGTGTCAATTAACTGGTCTCTGATGTCGCAGTTGTGACCAGGGTTCGCAATTGCGAACCCTTCAGACCCTTCTAAAATTGCATTTGCGAACAGGGGTTCACATTTGTGAACCCTGAGGATCACTATACTCTTCGCATTTGCGATGCTGCCGTCGCATTTGCGATATCGCAACTGCGATAAATGCATCACATTTGCAACCAAGGCAGCCTAGGCCATAGTTCGCAGTTGCGATACAGTGTTAGCATTTGCGAGCCAGGCTTCGCAAATGTGAAGCCTACAGACCTGCAACACACCAGCAATTCCTAGGTGCAAATTTCACTCCGTGGCCTATCCAAAACTCACCCGAGCCCTCGGGGCTCCAAACCAAACATGCACACTAACCCAAAAACATCATACGGACTTGCTCGTGCTTCAAATCACCAAAATAACATCAACAACTATGAATTTAGCATCAAAATCAAGAAAATCTCAAGAACTTTCAAAGTTTCAAATTTTACAACTAAGGTTCTGAATCACGTCATATGACCTCCGTTTCTTACCAAATTTTACAGGCTCAACTTAAATCACATATAAGACCTGTACTATGCTCCGGAACCAAAATACGGTCCCGATACCATCAAATTTCAAACACATTTCATTTCCAAAAACTCATAAATATTCTAGAAAACAATTTTCTTTAAAAATTCATTTCTCGGGCTTGGGACCTCGGAATTCGATTCCGGGCATACGCCCAAGTCCCATATTTTCCTACGGACCCTGGGGGACCGTCAAATCATGGCTTCGGGTCCGTTTACCTAAAATATTGACCAAAGTCAACTTAAATTTATTTTAAAAGCAAAATTTATTATTTTTCGTAGATTTTCACATAATGGCTTTTCGGATACATGCCCGGACTGCGCACGCAAATCGAGGTGAGACAAAAAGGATGTTTTAAGGCCTTAGATTACAGAATTTACTTTCAAAATGAGTGATGACTTTTTGGGTCATCACATCCTCCACCTCTAAAACAACCATTCGTCCTCGAACGGACATAAGAAGGAAGTACCTGATTCAGAGAAAAGATGGGGGTATCGGCTCCGCATATCGGACTCGAACTCCCAGGTCGATGCCTCAGCAGGCTGACCTCTCCACTGAACATGAACAGAAGAGACACTCTTCGATCTCAACTTATGAACCTGCCGGTCTAGAATAGCTACCGGCTCCTCCTCATAGGACAAGTCCTTGTCCAACTGGACAGTGCTGAAGTCTAACATGTGGGATGGATCGCTGTGATACTTCCGAAGCATGGACACGTGAAACACTGGATGCACGGCTGATAAGCTCGGCGGCAACGCAAGTCTGTAAGCCACCTCCCCCACTCGATCAAGAATCTCAAACGGGCCAATAAACCTAGGGCTAAGCTTGCCCCTCTTACCAAATCTCATCATGCCCTTCATAGGCGACACCTGAAGCAACACCCGCTTACCGACCATGAATGCCAAATCACGAACCTTACGGTGGGCTTAACTCTTTTGCCTGGACTGAGCTGTACAAAGCCTATCCTGAATGATCTTGACCTTGTCCAAGGCATCTTGTACTAGATCCGTACCCAACAACCGAGCCTCTCCCGGCTCAAACCACCCAACCGCCGACCGACACCGCCTACCATATAAAGCCTCGTAAGGAGCCATCTGAATGCTCGACTGGTAGCTGTTGTTGTAGGCAAACTCTACTAGAGGCAAAAACTGGTCCCACGAGC